GGGTGTAGAGATTACTTAAAATTAAAAAAAATTTTTTTTAAAGAAAGTGGTATAGAGAAAATTCCTGACATGAAAAATCTCTTGCTTTTATATGACAGTTAAAATCTTCCAGGCAAGGGTGCCTGGGTGGCTCAGATGGTTAAGCATCTGCCTTCAGCTCAGGTCGTGATCCCAGGGTCCTGGGATCAAGTCCCACATCGGGCTCCCTGCTCAGCAGGGAGTCTGCTTCTCCCTCTCCTACTGCCCCTCTCCCCTGCTCATGCTCTCTCTCTCTCAAGTAAATAAATAAATCTTTAAAAAGAAAATCTTCCAGGCAAGAGACAAATCACAATTGTGAAATGAGCTGTGAACCATAAAACCAATAAAAAGCTTTCAGGGTGTGAACAAAGGAAAAAGGAAAGAGGCATTAAATTTACTCCCTCATTGAACTACAGTCTCACCTACCAAAGTAGGCAATGAGAGTGAAAATAAGTGGAAAGTAGGAAAAGCCTTACCTGCTCCACAGAGGATGAGATCTCATAGTAATATGGCTGCCATTTACCAAAAGTTCAGGATCCCAGGCATTGGGTTAGTCCTTCGTATCCATCACCTCACTGAATTCTCCCAACGACCCAATTATCATTTATTATTTGACAATATATACTCTGATTATCCCCACTTTACAGACAACTGGGGCTTAAGGTTGTTAAGTCACTAAGCCAAAGTCCCAGGAGGAGGAAGGGCAGGATCCCAACACAGGTGTGAGGCTCCAGCGCTCTGGGGCAGTAGCACCTGGAGGGCCAGGGAACTCCAGCTTCCTGGTCCAGCCTCATAGCAGCATCCCTGAGGCCTAAGCCCCTACCCATCAAATTCCTGAGGCAATCTGGAGAGAAGTCAATGGATGTGACAGACTCTGCCTCTCTCCACTCACTCTCGTCCCCAAGAGCTTCTTCCACGGCGTTTAACTGCTCGCTCCCAAGTCTCCTGAGTCACCTCTTCTGCCCCGGAGAACCGGGTCTGGGGGAGCCCTAGCCACCCCAAAACCATACCTCTCAAGTTATGGCACTTGCAACCCCCCACTCTGCTGGGTTAACTTCATTCACAGGAACTAGACTTCTCCCACCCCTATTCTCCTGGAATTAGTAAAGCCCAATGGTTAAAAGCAATGGCTTTGGAGCCAGACACACCTAGGTTCAAGTTCTGCATCACTACTGCCTCCCTGTGTGTAATTTCTTCATCTTCAGGCTCCCATTTTAAAGTAAGAATGCTAATCCTACCTTTTTAGGTGACGTGTTGTGAGATTAAGATGCACTAAAGATAGAAAGCATTCGGTCCTTTGTAAGCACTTGGTAAATAGTGCTTGCTATTTTCATGGCTTTCATTGTTAACCCCATGCCTCTCAATCCCAATTTTCTAGTTTGGGGCTTAGATCTCCTGCTTTCTCTTGCCATTTTTTTTTTCTCTCTAGAAGTGAATCCCAACCCTAGGATGGGTCTCAGAGCACTGGTGTGTCTTCTTCATTTAGACATATTTTCCACAAACAAGACTTTAGCCTACTTGAAGTTTTCATTTATAAAAGTTATTTCCAGGTGGAAGTTTGCTGCAATGCCCACCAATTTTCATCTAGAACTTCAATGTAGGTGATATGCCCCCTAAGAGAACCAGTAAAGGATGGGGCGTCCTGAGGTGGGGCTAGGGCATGGGCTCTCAAGTCAGCTGGGCCTGGACCTACATGTTCACTGTCTCTCACCTCTGAACTTCAGTTTCTTTAGCTATACAATGGGGAGTCTTGCTTTTAACCTGAAGAGATGTGGTGAAAATTCCATGAGGTAATGGCGAGAAAGTCCAGGTTCCTGAGGCAGAGTAGGGATGGATAGTGTCAGTTTCCTTCCCTCTGGGAAACCATCACCATCTTGAAATATGGCCATCAGCATCCTAACAAAGAGGTCCCACCTTTAAGGAAATAACAAGGCTCCCCCTCTCCTGTTGACCCTTCTACCTTCTTTCTAGATACCCTCTCTTTTATTTCTCCAAAACTTTGTCGTTCTGAAGTTGGGGTGGGACAAAACAGGGCAGAGAGTCTATCCCTGGGGTTTAGTCAGCTCCTGCTCAGATGCCATTTGGTCAGGAGCCAGATTTGCTACTTAGAAAAACACATCCGTTCTGGACACCACTATTGAAAAAGAAAACTGAGAAATGTCAAAAGCGGCAGTCAAGATGATTAAAGAGTTCGAGAATAGGGCTGTTGGTTTAAGGAAGTGAAGGCAGGATGGGAAGGCTTGGCTGCTAAGAAACAATTTTCAAAGAAATAGAGCCAAATAAAATACAAAAAGAAAAAAAATGGTGAGTCTATGCTGTAGATGTAGGGCTGAATGAGGGATAGCGAAAAGGTCTTGGCAGATCCATTGAGACAGAGGCCAGAAGGGATGAGACCTCTTTAAGAAAAAGAATACAAAACTCCCTGGGCCCTTCCTGGGCTTTGGAAGGGTTATGAGCAGGTGAGGTACCCTGAAACTTAAGCTCTGGTGATTCCACAGTATATTCACCTCTAATCTAAAAAACAGATGGTTAGCAGAGGGGAGGTGGGTGGAGGGATGGATAAAATAGGGGAACGGGATTAAGAGGACACTTATCCTGATGAGCACCGAGTCATGTATAGAATTGTTGAATCACTATATTGTACACATGAAACTAACACAACACTGTATGAACTCTACTGGAATTAAAATTTTGCCTTTCATCAAGGCTGTGACAAGTGAGCTGGTAACAGGTTTGGGAAATGGACACAAAGCTCCACTGTTCTGCAAACTTTGCCTGGAAATGCCTTCTCTTCCTTCTTCCCCAAACGAATGCCTTCTTAGCCTGCCAATTGCAACGCAAGCCTGCGCTGTTCTCGGACATCCTACCAGAGGCGACCCTTCCCGCCACAGCAGATGGGTGCCCCACGCTCACGTGTACACCTCTCTCACACTGGGCTTGTTTGTACCACTCCCCTCGTGTAGGAGTTATCCATTGCTGCATGACACATTTCTCCAAAATGGACTGGCTTAAAACCACATGCATTCCTTATCCCATAGTTTCTGTGGATCCAGACGTCCGGCATGGTTTAGCTGAGTCCTCGGTCATCTTCAGGCTCAACTAGGAAAGAACTGTTTCCTAGCCCATGTGACTGTCAGCAGGCTTCAGTCCCTCACAGGCTGCTGGACTGAGGCCTCAGTTCCTCAAGATGGCCAGAAGCCTCCCTCGGTTCCCTGCCACATGGGCCTCTCCGTCAAGCAAGCACGAAGGCTGGCTTCATCAGAGCAAGCAAATGAGAAGGCCAAGACAGAGTGCTGGCAAGGTGGATGTCACAGTCCTTCGTAACCTAATCACAGAAGTGACATTCATCATCTTTGCCACATTTTTGTCACTAGAAGCAACTATGTCACATTTTTGTCACACTTTTGTCACCAGAAGCAACTCACTGGGTTCAGCCCATTCCCATAGGCAGGGAATTACATGGGCATGAATACCAGGAGGTGGGGATCATTTGGAACTCTGTCAGAAGCTGCCTACCACAATTGTTACTCCTTCCAGTCCACTGTGTCATGCCTGTTGTCCTGCCTGTCTCCGCCATTTCATCAGGAGCTCCTTGAAGACAGGGACCACATTTGACTCACCATTTAGTGCCCCTGGGTGCTTAGCACAGCCTTGTGGGCTTCTTACGTGAATGGATAATGAATAAATGAATGGCTGGTTACTCACAGTAGCAGAAACAGAACCAAAGGCAAGTGTATCATTTTACTTAAGAGAGCATGTTATTTACTACCTTATTTACCCCATCATTTCATTTCTAGGAAGTTAAGGAAATAATCAGGAATGTCATTACAAGGATATGTCCAGAAGTTTACAAGTTAGTTTCGAGGATGTTCTATGGAATTGTTTATAAGAGCAAAACTCCCCCCCTTAAAAAAAAAAAAAGAAAGAAAGAAAGAAAGAAAAGAAAAGAAAAAGAAACCAACCTGTAAACTACCTGAATGTCCAATGATAAAAAACTGAGTAAATACATGATGCTACGGTCATACAGTGGATATTTTGCAGTCATCAAAATGAAAAGTGTTAAGCAAGAAGACGTGTCAGGGAAGGATGCTTATGATATTGCCCGTGATTTTAATGTTGTACACTATTGCACATTATTGACTGTACATCTGGAAAGCAGGTTGTTGCAAAGCAGTGTATGTATTTTATACCTTTACAAAGTAAATACACACATAGAAAAAGTCTGGAAGGATTTCGAATGGCCATGAACCTTTGAAGATAAGCCAGTTATTAAACTGCTTCAACAAACAGGTGTTTTTGGTTTGGGTTGTGCCCATGTAACAGCAAGTCTGAAGGCAGGCAGCCTCTGGCCTTGGTTCTCTCTGGCTCAACCTCACTGCAGTTTGCCAGCATTCCCCTTCATGCTTGCCCCGCCCCTGCAGTCATAAAATGGCTGCCCAGCTCCAGGCAGCACGCCCACATTCCAAAGTAGGAAGAACAAGTAAGGGGAGGCTCCAGTCCTGGCTCTTTACTAGGAAAGCAAGAGCATTCCCAGAAGTCCCGCACTAGATTTCCCTAACACTCTCTTTGGTTGAGTCACAGGGACACTCCCGGCTTGGGAGTTTGGGGACACTAGAAATGGCAATTTCATGATTTGCTTAGAAAATCGTGATTGATCCCCTAGTGTTACAAACTGGGCCCCACATTGAGCATAGAGATTACTAGAAAAAAAAAAATCAATAAACTTAGAACAAAACAACACAGACTGCTGGGGCCTACCCTAGAATTTCTGATTCAGGAGGTATGGTGTAGGGCCCGGGAATGTGCATTTCTAACAAGTTCCCAGATGCTGATGCTTTTGGTCCAGGGACCACATATGAGAACCAGTGCTTTAGAGTAAACACATCAAATGACTCACCTCCAACTAACTTTCATCCCTGCATGTCTCCACTCAAGCTTCAAAAGCCCTGAGAAAGTCTAGTTGACTTAAAGTTGAGTCATACCTGTGGTCAGGGAGGTAGAGTCCTGTGACTGGCAGCCCTGCAAGCATCACATGGGGTGGATGGAAGTTCCTCCAAAGGAAAGAATGGTGGACACACAAAAATAGATGTCCTCAAGGTGGTAATTGGCTAAGCTGAATGCACAACTCCTCTGGAGTGAGACCCGCTGCAGCCACTTCTCCTCTTGAGGCAGAAAGTTCCAGAAGAGAGAATTAAATAATAATAATAATAGGAGGGAGCAGGTGGACTCTTATGGACCATTATTTCTATTCAAACCTCATTCTATTTTCCTGCCAAGAGAAATAAAAATAAAATAAAATAAGGTAAAACAAAATAAAATAAAAAGAGGAGACTCCTGCCTCCAAGAGGCCAGTGATCAATTCCACCCCTGCCTTGGTGACTTCCAGGATCCCTGAGGAGGGTTTAGACTTTGCAGTGAGGCCCATTTTATATGGTGACCAGTTAGGCCACCAACCAAGACAACTCATCATCATGCATACTGTAGCTTTTTTCAGACTCAGAGGAATTGATACTACAGATAGTTCCTAAAAAGCCTAAGCATCTCATTTTTGCATGCTCACAATGAATTTTCTCCTTTAGGAAAGCTTTGCAGAGGGAGAAAAAAAAAATCTGTTCACCTAAGTAACCAAGCCTATAGTTGTATAAGTCTGGTTTGTCATCTATCGAACTTCCTTAAAATGAGGCCCACCTGAGCTTATAAACCAAGATGATGATTTAACACAGCAATCTGGAGTGTGTTTAAAACATCACGGTAATATTTACACAGCACTCAGTGGAATATGCCATATTAAATATGATAGTCTCAAATCAGGCTTATTCTGTTTTATTGCTCTTGGCTTCACTGCACTTCACAGATAAATTGAAGGTTTGCGGCAACCCCATGTCAAGCAAGTCTGTCGACACTGTTTTTCCAACAGCATTTGCTCACTTCATGTCTCTGTGTCACATTCTGGTAATTCGGGATTTCAAACTTGGTCCTTATTATTATATTCATTATATAAATATGACTCACTGAAAGCTCAGCTGTTGGTTAGCATCTTTTAACAATAAAGTATTTTTTAATTGAGGTCTGTACGGGTTTTTTTAGACATAACGCTATCACACACATAACAGACTCCAATACAGCATGAACATAACTGTTACACACACCGGGAAACCCCAAAACTCACTTGACTCACTGTATTGCGATATTTGCTTTATTGCAATGGTCTGGAACCAAAGCCACAGTATCTCTGAGGTACGCCTGTAGATGATAAAAAGCATTTGACAGAATCCAACGCCCTTTCATGATAAAAACCCTCAACAAATAAGAGTAGAGGGGAACTCTCTCAGCCTGATAAAGGGGCATCTACAGAAAACCCACACTAACATCACACTTAATAATCAAAGACTAAATGTTTGCCCTTAAGATCAGTTGTAAAGTCACCACTAGGAGCTGGAGGAGAAAGAAATAGGAAGTGACTACTGATGGGTAGCGACTTTCTTTTGGGGATGATGAAAATGTTCCAGAATTAGACAGCAGCTATGGTTGCACAACCTTGTGAATGAATATCCTAAAAACCACCGAGTCGTGTGCTTTAAAATGGTAAGTTTTGTGATATGTGACTTATATCTCAAATAAAATTGTTATTAAAAATATATATTTACACAGGGGCCACTAGCTATGGTGTAGCTAGAAGGGGGGGGGGAAATCCCCACAGTCCCTGGAAGTTCGAGACAGGAGAATTATGTTTTATAATATTCTCTTGAGCTTCCCCAAAGCAGGTGGGAAAGGGACCCCACCCCAAGAATTTAATTTTGTTAGGGAAAAACACCCTTAATTTTCAAGTGTACTTTGTCCTTTGTTTTGAAGGGCATGTTAATGAGTATTCAGTGGGTCAGCTTCAGCCTGACCTTTAGCCTGGGGTCTGGTCCAGAGGAGAAAATCCTTTGTGTTATGGAGTATGAGAGGTTTTGGAGTAGACTGCATGAAACTGGAATGGAGCTAGGGAAAGGCTGGAGGACATGTAGTGAGCTGATTCCCAAAGAGGGATACAGCCAGAAAGAAATTCCTCTTGGCAGTAATGGCCCATGAAATTTTAGGACAGTGATGTCTTCTAGATCATTTTAAGTTGGTGTCCATACTGTGCTGAACTTGTCCTGTTTCCCCCAAACCTCAGTGGAATCTGCTAAGTGCTAGTGATACTCAGATGAACGCAGGAATCAGGAATGTGTCCAGAAGTGTCTGAGAGGGTCTGTGAGAAAAAATAGCACCAGAAGAGCAAGACTAACTGTGAGAAACACTGTTCCTTGGGCCACCCAGAAGTTGTCACCCCACAGCCATGCTATCCTTTGCCAACATCACAGGAATTAAGGGGAGATGGCTGGAGACCAACTTAAGGATGTCTTTGGAGGTGACTGGGTGGCTCAGTCAGTGGAGCATGTCACTCTTTTTTTTTTTTTTAAGATTTTATTTATTTATTTGAGAGACAGAGAGAGAGAAAGAGAGTGCACATAAGCAAGGGGAGCTGCAGAGGGAGAGGGAGAAGCAGGCTCCCCGCTGAGCAGGGAGCCCAACGCAGGTCTTGATCCCAGGACCCTGAGATCATGACCTGAGCCAAAGTCAGACACTTAACTGACTGAGCCACTCCTGCGCCCCAGGAGCATGTCAGTCTTGATCTCGGGTCATGAATTTGAGCCCCACGTTGGGGGTAGAATTAAAAAAAAATAAGGGATGGGGACATCTGGGTGGCTCACTCAGTTGAGAGCCCGACTCTTGATTTCAGCTGAGGTCGTGATCTCAGGGTCCTGGGATCAAGCCCCACGTAGGGCTCCATGCTCAGCAGGGAGTATGCTTGAAAGGCTCTCCCCCTTTCTCTCTACCCCTCCCCCACTCTCTCTTTCTCTCTCTCAAATAAATAAATAATCTTTAAAAAAAAAAAAAAGGAGGGATGTCTGGATGGCTCAGTCGGTTAAACGTCTGCCTTCCACTCAGGTCATGATCCCGGGGTCCTGAGATCGAGCCCCGCATCGGGCTCTCTGCTCAGGGGGGAGCCTGCCTCTCCCTCTCCCACTCCCCCTGCTTGTGCTTTCTCACTCTGTCAAATAAATAAATAAAATATTAGTAAAAAAAAGGAGGGCTTTGGCTACATGTCATAAAAAAAACCAAACTCCAAAAATAATTAACCAATAAGGAAATTTTATTTTTTCACATAATGAGAAGACCTAAATTAGATGGGGTCTAGGGTTGGTTAATTCAGCAGCCTAATGAAGTCATCAAGGGCCCGATGTTCATTGCCTCTCATTACTCTACTGTCCACAGCTTGTTGGCTTGTCTTCAGGCCCCTAGAGATCCAATTACTCTCTCTGCCTATTAGAGTGAGCCCATGTTTTGGTGATCAGAATTTTTTTGGTTGCAAATGTCAGAACTCCAATCTGTACCAATTTAAGGAAAATGGGAACCCAGTGGGACTTCAGGCATGTCTGGATCCAGGAGGGCATCAAATTCTCTTTTATTCCATCTTTCAGGTTTATTTGATTCTGTTTGGCTTTGCTCTCAGGCAGCAAGATGGCTGCTGGAACACCAAGTCTTCAATGCCATGTAGCTCATGTTTTGTGGGGTTGTGGGGCGGCGGGGGGAGGATTGGGGGAGGAAGAGAGAGAGAGATTTTCTTCCTTCTAATGTCCATATGACAAATTTCATGAAGGGATTCTGATTAAGACACAGGCCAACCCTGGACGAATCACTGGTGACAAAAGACACAGACTTTGGATTGACCAGCCTTGTGTCTTCTGCCACTCCTGGGACTTAGGGTCAAGACCACCCAAACCGCAGTCTGAGCTGAATTTAGGGAAGGAAGAACGATTTTCCGAAGGACGACTGGCTGAGGAACTGGCTGCAGGTCATGAGGACACCAGGATTCCAAAGCAAACTGAGGCTAACAGTCACCTTCCAAGAAACCAGAAGGAAAGAGTGAAAGAAACTGGAATTCTTGAAGGGCCTACTATGTGCTTTCCCAAGGTCCCAGAGCTAAGACATGACAGGGCCTAGATTTAAATCTATGCCTTTTTAGTTCCAAAGTCCATGCACTTATGGGGCGCCTGGGTGGTTCAGTCAGTGTGCGTCTGCCTTCGGCTCGGGTCATGATCCCAGGGTCCTGGACCAAGCCCCACATGGGGCTCCCTGCTCAGTGGGAAGCCTGCTTCTCCTTCTCCTTCTGCTTGCCGCTCCTCTTACTTGTGCTCTGTCAAATAAATCAATAAAATCTTAAAAAACAGAAACAAAAACTGAAGTCCATGCACTTAGCACTGAGGGGACTGCACAAAACAAAGGAGTCAAGATGGAGAAGAACTATACTATTGTGAAGGAAAGATGTCCAGCAGACACCCTGGCAGAGCCCTTAGCCCAGCCTGGGAGCATGAATCAGGGAAGCCTTTCTGAGGAGGAGATACTTAAACTGGGGATTGAAGGGCTAAAGGTGTTTGTCAAAAAAGTAAAGGAGAGAAGCAAGAAAAGAGGTTGTCTGGGTAGGCGGGGGAGGTCCCAAAGGCCAGAGTTGCAGCTTTGGACAGTCACTGTCTCCGTGGGGTGGGGGCTTCCCTGTCCTGCCTCCTCCCAGCTCTGCCCTGCGCCATTGCGCCACGACAATTTTTCTGAGGCACAGTTATCCCCATGGGGGTTTCCAGAAGCATTCTCACAGTGGTTGAGGCGGTGGCCTGCATTCTGCCAACTCCTCTCTGTATGACTATTGGCTATTCACTTCCCTCTTTGGGATGGAGGAATCCATAAAATTATAGTCAGCAAGTTGACCGTAGTGAAGGTGGTACGTATCTGTGACTATACTAGAAACCACAGAATTATACACTTGAAACGGGTGAAATATATGGTGTGTGAATTATATCTCGATAAAGCCATTTTTAAAAAACCTGTATTGGGCTGGGTGACGGATCGAGTTGCCGAACTACTGCAACCAAGGCTTTGCTACTTTCTAGCCAGGTGACCCTGGTACTTCGTTTTACTTCACCTCTCTGAGCCTCATTTTCCTTGTTGTGAAACGGGAATTATATCCTTACCTTGTTTAGGTAGTTAAGGAACAGGTGCAGCGTGGTATTGGAAAGTTTGGTTAGAATTCTGGCTCTATCACTAAAGTCTCTCTGTGCCTCTACTTTCCCATCTGTTCAAAGGGGACGAGAGACCTGGTTCATAGCATTATTAGGAAGATTGAGTGGATACCTATCCAGTTCTTGGAACTATGCCTGGCACATGGTTCAATAGTTCAATAAAAATAGTACCTCATTGATTATATCCATTTCATATCCTGGATTCTATTTGGGATCTTCTTTATGAGGTTAAACTGTCCACCCAAACCTAGTACTGGATTCCCTGAGAACTGAGGATTCCCCACACCTGAGTCCTGCTGTCAAGGCTGTACACAATTTTGGGGGTGGTCTGCCAGCCCAGGCTCCTCTTCCCTGAATATGCCTTTTCCATATGTGTGGGCTTCAGCAGTTCCCAGCCATGACCGAATGGACAGAGGCAGACCCCTCACTCGAGCTGAAATAGTCACCTTCTTTCCCCCGGAAATTTGGAATTAGGACCCTGGTATGTGTTAGCAGGTGGCACTGGAGCTGAGAGGTGACATGGTTTCAGGCTAGGGCAGACATTTTGTGCCATGTGAATGGGGAAGCCTAGAAGCCAGGGAGAAGCCAAGGGACAGAGCCACAAAAAATGATAAGAAATCCCTAGCCTCAGAGGGAGAAGGAGAGAGTGGTTCTGCCTTGGACCCTGGTGCATTTCCATTCAGTCACTTAACAAATTTATTGAGTATCTACTATGTTCCATGCCCAGGGATACAGCAGTGAACAAGAGGGACAAATTCCTTCCCTCAGGTATAATGGGAAACCACTGAAAAGTTTTGTGCAGAGAAACATAACCTCACTACATTTTTAAAAGATTGGGGCACCTAGGTGGCTCAGTCAGTTGAGCATCCAACTTTTGGTTTCAGCTCAGCTCATGATCTCATGAGTCATGGGATCACACCCCACATGGGGCTCCAAGCTCGGTGGGGAGTCTGCTTGAAAATTCTCTCCCTCTCCCTCTGCCCCTCCCCCATGTTTACTCATGATCTCTCTCTCAAATAAATAAAAACCTTTAAAAAATAAAAGATTATTTTAGAGAGAGAGCACATGCTCATGAGAGAGCATGTGAGCATGGGAAGGGGCAGAGGGAGAGGGAGAGGGAGAATCTCAAGCCAACTCCATGCTGAGCACAGAGCCCTATACCAGGGCTGGATCTTACGACCCTGAGATCATGACCTGAGCCAAAATCAAGAGTTGGATGTTCAACCTACTGAGCCACCCAGGCGCCCCAAAAAATAAATCTTAAAAAAAAAAATCACTCTGGCTGCTGTGTGAAGAATGGGTTGGTGGGGAACAAGGGGAAAATCAGAGAA